GAAATCAAAGAAAGAATTGAAGCGCTTCTTCCATATACTGGTGAGTTAGACAAAACGAACCATTTGTTGTTGACTGTATAAATTGATAAGTTCTTTGTAAGTTTGCATGGCGATAAAACATATAATAGTAATAATAAATAATAAATTTACGTAATAATAAAAATAAATTTGCAGTAATAAATTTACGTGGTGTTTCCACAAACAAAACTATTATATGTATAAATTACATTACTGTCAAAAGTCTACATTACTATCAAAATATTATTCCGCTTTCAGAGAGACACATGGAAAGGATGAACCGATTACTGCAAGTAAGTTTAGAAAATAAAAAGGTGAACTGTTATTTATACAGGATACATGTAGCTCTACAGTTCTGTAAGCGAAATGAAAAAGCTGTATTTATATGTACTCCAAACTTTTTCCATCTAGCAATCAATGTTCCTTGAATACACCTGGCAATCAATGAAGCTTGCAATTTCCACTGACGCTAATGAAAAGTAAGATTCCTTGTATTGTATGTACTATGAAAGTGTTTCTCAAACTGTTCTAAATTATTTAAGGCTTCAGAGTTAAGAACATGTTGCTAAAAAGTTTGCGTGTGTCAATTAGTGTTAATTTAAATTTGTTTCTTTTATTAGCAAAATTGAAACGGAAAGTGAAAGGTCGTCCATCAATGGAGAATAACATGTTCTGCATGAATGACAGCAGTTTATATCCTTTATTTGATTTAATCGTGACACTGGGTTGCCTAAGAGATGACCTGTGAGATCAGGGACGAAATATTGACTGGATTGACGATGAAACAAATAAAAGCAACCGGACCAGACCTAATGTGACCAAAATCCATTATTTTGCGCGCCATCATCAATTGCAAACAGTCATGATTGATGTGCATAGAGGACATATCTTGTACTTATATTGCACTCAAATGAACTTTCTCACTCTTGGTGTGCTCAACACTGAATAATCTTCACCATTCGTAAAAAGAACGAGACATGGACAAAGTTGAGCCCGGATGAAATTCTGATAAGAGTGCATGAGAGTTGACAGTCACGCGAGCTTGGTTAGCTGTTCTTAATGCTTTCCCAACACTATCATGTATTCTATTTAAGTTAAAGGTTTTAAGCACAGAATAAAGATCAGTAACAGAAGGGCCACTCAGCGGTTTAACGTGTCCGCGTTTTTTTATGCAACGTGTATGCGTTTTTTTATGTTTACTCCAGAAGGCTGAGCAGCCAGCCAGTACAGTGAGTTTATTGGCCAGAAAATGTCATTGACTGGCTAGGAAAATGGCGGCCAACATGCGTAATGCGACATGCGCGAGGGCAGAAACTTCAAACCTTCCGACGTAAGTGGCCCTTCTATATGGATCTTTATTCTATGGTTTTAAGGCCCAAATTTTCCGAAAATATCATTATTAAAAGTTGAACATTTTCAACTTCAAACTTTTTATTTTCCGACAGAAAATTTGTGTCGCCAAGCACATTTTACAAAATTTTCTTTCTGCGGAAAATTTTCTTGAGTGGAATTTGGGCCTTTAATCTTGAGCTTGAAACAATGCTTGATTGTCAATCTCTCATCCTTGTTTGACCGCGGCTTTAATTTGAAATAAAATATTAATTCGCCCATCCCATGTGTGCATTCTCAACGAATAAAATAAATAAATGCTTTCAAAACATTTCGCGCATTATTTTGAATATTTTCCGGTTTCAAGATAAGTGCGCTGCTCTTGGTACTTCATGTATGACAATTATTTAGCCTCCGGCATCATTCAAGATGGAGTCGCATAGGAGTCGAAGCAGTATTTTCATTTTGTTATTTCATTTATTGGCATTCAGTACGTTTGCAGGAGATATTTTATATCAAAAGTCTAATATCCAAACGCCAGGATCTGTGAGTTGGCCTGGCCGATTGAAGTATCTCACCTATATCAATGAGGTATAAATATGAAAGTCTAAACAAACTGATCATAGCGCCTGCTATGCAAACCGACGATAATGACGTCATAACATGTTTTGTATTTTGTTTTCAATGCAATTTTAGAATCTTCAAAGTTTATATTTTCTGCTTGCATTTGTTGGTGATGTTTACTTACTGCTGAAGACAAAGTCAAAGAAAAAAGAGAATGATTCAGGAATTATAAAGCTACAAGACTTTATGTTTGCTGTGATTGTTTTTCCTCTTGGAATGGTATGACTGAAGAAATTTTTGTAGCATGTTTAATTCCTAATGTATTCTTGGGTTTCAACCATGTGATATTCTGTTATAGATTTACAGGGGTTGGGGCTTAAAGGGGTTAACCCCCCTAGAATATCTCTAACTCCTCTAATAAAGTATTCAACCCCACCAAAATGTTGCTTCACCCCTAACTCCTATTTTTGGTGAAAGTTTTTAACACTAACACCTAACCTCTGCTGAAAAAGCATCACTGGAAATGTGATTTATCAGGTAGTATTTTACAACTCAAAGGGCACTTCTACCCCTCTTGTCCCTCCTAGCAAAAGGCAAGAGGGACAGCCACCCCCAGTTCCGGCATCCCTGGTTAATGCTGACTGAAACCCAAACAAACTTTGAACCTTTTGCAATTTGTATATGAGGTAAAACTTCTCTTTTCATCTAGCTTGTTTGTTTTGTGTTTTGGTCAATTTATGCTGTTGATCGAGAGTTAATATATCCTGAAATATTGGACAACATTATTCCAAAACTGTGCAACCATATCATGGTAATGTATTGTGTAACAATTAATTAATAATAGGCATTCTAAACTGTTCTTCCTAGAGGTCCAGTCCATGTTAACTTCAATATTTTATATGTAATGTTTAGCACACAGCCGTAGCAATATTTTTGGTCCTTGAAGCTTTTCTTGTTCATCATAAATTCCCCAGTACTGGAATATCATTACCAGCAGGACTTCTCTTTAGTCTATCATATTTTCTATGGTAAGTGCTTCTCTTATAATGGAACAACTATGAATTTTTGTTCTCATTAGTAGCTTAATGTTTCTTGTCTTTATTTATCTGCATGTATTAACATAGAGGGCTAGTAGAGGAGGGGGTGGGTTGGGCTGTCCTGGTCAGGCCGTCAACCAAGGCTTGGCACGCAACAACCTCCTACAGTGTTGTAGCCAAACCTAACTGGAACTATGCTTTTGGCTATTCTTGGTAACTGGTAGATATGCACCCTTGAAATTTAGACACACTTCTAAAATCCAAGCTAAAACCCTGCGAAGAATCTTTTCTAAGTTTGTCAGGATTGTTCTTAATATATAGACTTTGATAATTCCCCTCAATTCATTGTACCACTAGCTCTCTTTCATCTTTCTAGGATGGTTTACCAAAAACATTTCCTGTCAGAATGGCCATATCCATTCCTGGATGAATTCACTATATTTCATCATGTTGTGTTTGTCTTGGTCTGTTTTGCCTTCCAATGTGCATTTTATTTTCTGGGAAAATATTTTACAAATCTTAGACAGAAAATAGTTGCTCCTGGTAAGTAAATTCTCTGCTTTAAACTTTCCCGGGGGAGTAGTTAGGGGAGGGTCAACTTGTCAGAAATGTTGATACTTATTGGGGAAGAAAACAGAACTACATCTCTGAATTCTATTTATTTGCCACCAAATACAAGACTTTCTCACTCTGATAACTGCAGCTTGACCACCATCTGCATCTTAAGACATGTTAATACTGACATTGAAAAGTTTATGGTTGTAGTATAGACTGTACAATCC